GGAGGCGGAGGACAAGGGAGGAAGGACAAGGGAGGAGAAGGACAAGGGAGGAGAAGGACAAGGGAGGAGAAGGACAAGGGAGGAAGTGGAGTGAACAACGAGGAGGAGGAGGACAAGGGAGGAAGGGAGGAAGTGGAGTGAAAAACGTGGTTGCCCAGAGACGGGAGGACGAAATGCGACAAGGCCAACGTGGCAATCTTTTCGGGTTTTTTTTTTGGGAGAGGCGGGGGGAGGGGGCGGGTGTGAAACAAGGAAGTTCCATTTCACGTGGCAATCGAAAGACAACTTGTCAACAATTATTTTTCATCAGGTTGGAAGACTGATCATCAAAGTGCGTACGCACTCAAGGACTTCCCGCGATGTATCTGACTCTAATTACAATCATTCGTGGATGGATTTGTCCGTAATTACGCCCTGAGCTCGGTCAGAAAAGACCTAGTGTGAGTATGAGTATGCCCTAAGAACATATTACATACTCACATTAGATCTATATATATCGTCACAAACAGAACTGCCCGGTAAAACCGTAGGCAGAGAGAGAGAAGAGGACAACAGACGAGGGGCTGTGACAAACTGTTTCGTCGGAGTTTCACCGACTCATATATATATATCGTCACAAACAGATAGATAGATAGATCTCTATATATATATCATCACATGAATATGAGAGCGCAAAAGCGAAAAAAAGAAAAACGAATGAATTCGTTTTTTTTTTTTATATATATATCTTCTTCCTTACAACTCCCGTGTTCAGAACCTCTTGCGTACAAGGCCGCCCACGTGGATGTAGGTTGAGCGGCGGCTGCCCCCACCCCCGTGTGTCATATCGACCCACTTGCACACAGCCTATATTGTCCCAAAATTATCAGAGCGCAAAAGCGAAAAGAAAACAGAAAGAAAACAAAGAAAAATAATTTCATTTTTTATCTTCTTCCTTACAACTCCCCCTGTTCAGAACCTCTTGTATATATCGCCACAATATATATTGCCACAATATGTATTGTCACAATATATATCTATATATGTCGTCAAACAGAGCTGCCGACGTTAAACCGTAGGCAGAGAGGGAGGGAGAAGGAGAAGAGGACAACAAACGAGGGAGGGGCTGTGACAAACTGTTTCGTCGGAGTTTCACCCACTGACTCATCAGAACTATATATATCTATATAGATAGATAAGATAGATAGATAGATAGATAAAAGTCAGTTCTCGAGGTATCTCGCCTGATACACGGCGCCACATTCAGGGCATACTCACACTACCAGCTCTTTCCTAAATGTATCTGACTGGAATTGCGACCAGAGCTGGATGCATGTGACTGTAATCATGTCCGGAGCTCAGTCGAAAACCTCCTGTGAGTAATGCCCTCCATTCAGTCAACTTGGACAGTCCTACCGGTAGGGCAACCACCACTCAGAGATCCCAACCCAGGTCCAGACTGAAGCAAAGGGTAAAAAAGGTTAAGGTAAAAGGTCGAGGTGTACGTGAAGATCAAGGTGTAGGCCTCGCTGCATTAAAAAGTTTCAGGTCAAAGGTCTCCACGTAGGTGAAGATCAACTTGTAGGCCTCACTCCAAAAGAGGCTGAGGTAAGGTTAACAAGGTCAAGGTAAAAGGTCTACGTTGGTGTAGGTAAATACCAAGGTGTGTCCTTCGGGACATCCGTTAAAATTGGAACGATACAGAGAAGGAAGATTAGCATGGCCCCTGCGCAAGGATGACACGCATAAATCGAGAAATGGTCCAAATTGAAAAAAAAAAATAAAAAAAAATCAAGGTGTAGGCCTCACTGCAAGACCTTAAGGTAAAAGCTTAAGGTAGAAGCTTGAGGTAAAAGCTTGAGGTAAAAGCTTAAGGTAAAAAAGGTCTAGGTGTAGGTGAAGATCAAGGTATAGGCCTCGCTGCACTACCACTTACCAACTCCATGATTTGGCGCGTGTGACGTCAACAGTCCTGTCACCGCTCTCTGGCGAATTGCATGTATGTGTTTTCCATGAGCATTTTTCACCCTCTGCAGACGGGAAGGCTCGGCCTTGCATTCCCGTTTCATTTCGAAAACGCCTTGCCTACCCGTCTGCAGCAGGTGAAAAATGCTCATGAACCCAAGAAAGAGAGCCTATCTCAGTGGGGACCACACCCATGAACTGTTGACAATACAGACCCGTGGTCGAACCCAGATGATGGAAGTTGACGAGTAAAAGTTCTAAAACCAACTATTTCTAAATTGCCTGGGGCCGGTCAGCTTAATGATGATATCTCAAGGCTGTCGGCCGTGGTTCTTGGTAGGACGAGACGTCGAGACGTTTCTGGTGAGTGTGCCTCGAGTCGCCTGCAGCCTGCAAGTGCGGACGGTGGAAGTGTGTGAGCAGGGGCCTCGCGCCACTACACGACACTCTGCATGCATTTTTGGAGCTTTGCGGACCAGGTGCGTTCGGTCAAGTCCGACATTTTGAATGCATGGGGTCCAGAAAGCGTCCAGATGCATGTGTAGTGCTGTGCAGTAGTGGAGCGAAGGACCCAGGTCGCTCTGCTCACCAGGGAGTCCGTCCCTCTTCTCAACCGAACCCACCAGAGATCTCTCCCCACGCGCTCACAGTGTGAACACACATGCCCTCACTATCGAGTGAATTACCGGTCAGTACATGGGCAAAAATTAATCACTAAATCTGGAACCTTTTCTGTGACATTGTATTGTTGCCTTGGGCACTGGGGCCGTCAAAAAAGGGATTCCAAGTTAATAATAATAATAATAATAATAATAATAATAATAATAAATCGCTATGACCGCAGCACACTGCCGTCTTCCCCCGAACACAACGCATCCCGATCATGAGTGTATAGAAGCTATTTTTACGGTCACATTCCTTATGTGGGTGCGATGTGTTGGGAGGAAGAAGACGGTAGAGACCGCGTAAAACAAGCTTGCCCTGTTCAAGGTTGTGCGATCGATTCACCGAGAAAAGAGTTGCTCCGTCGATCAATCAAGATCAAGATCAAGCAATCAATCAATCCATGGACCAATCAATCAATCGGTTGACCAATCGATCGATCAATCCGTCGATCAAGCAATCAATCAATCCATGGACCAATCAATCAATCGGTTGACCAATCGATCGATCAATCCGTCGATCGAGCGATCAATCCCTCAAGCGACCAATCGATCAAGATCAAGCAGTCAATAAAGATCGACCAATCAATCAATCGATCGAGCGATCGATCCCTTGATTGAATGGTCGATCTTTAATGACCGATGGATTGGTTGATTGATTGATTGATTGATTGATTGCAAAAAATAATTAAAAACTAGAAAACGATAAAAAAGGCGAAAAAGGAACGGAGGGCGACCTCCTCCCTCCCTCCTCCCTCCCTCGTACTCACCTTCCCCCTTCTCCTTACCCCCCGCTCATCCTGGTCTCCTTTCTCGTCGTCGTTCACCTTCTGGCCGTTCCTCGCAGTCGTCTTCGTCCTCCTCCTCGCCTTTGTCATCCACATCTCCCTCCTCGTCCTCCACGACTTTCAATCCCATCGACTTCGTCTTCACTTCACCTCTCCCTCCTCCTCCTCCACGACTTTCCATCCCCTCGACTTCGTCTTCACTCTATCTTCTTTGTGCTCCGTCCTGCCTCCTTCGTGCCCTTCATCCTCCCACCTCTCCCGCCGTCATTTTGTTCTGTGGATTGCTTTCTCGTTTTTTTTTTTTTTAAATTGCAATCAATCAATCAATCAATCAATCAATCAATCAATCAATCAATCAATCGACCGATCGGTCTACCAATCGACCAATCGATCGGTAAATAAAGATCGACCACTCAATCAATTGATCGATCGATCGCTCGATCGATTGATTGGTTGGTCGATATTTATTGACCGATCAATTGGTCGATTGGTTGATTAGTCGATTGGTAGACCGACCGGTCGACCGATTGCTTGATTGCTTGATTGCAAGATTAGAAAAGAAACTAAGAAACGCCAAAAAGGCGCAAGAACAAAAGACTGCAACCTCCTCCCTCCACCTTCCCCTCCCTCCTCCCGCTGCTCAACCACAATCGGCTTTGCCCTTCTCCTTCCCCTCCACTCCTCGTCGTTCTCCCGGTCGTCGTCCTCCTCCTGGTCGTTCTCCCGGTCGTCCTCCTCCTCCTCGCTTTTGCCGTCCACCTCTCCCTCGCCATCCTCCACGCATTCCATTCTCCTCGACTTCTTCCGTACTTTATCTAACTGGTGCTCCTTCCTGACTCCTCCTTCCTTCTGCTTCCTTCCACCTCTCCTCCCGTTATTTCCGTCTGCGGATTGCTTTCTCGTTTTTTTCCTTCTTGTTTTTTCACTTGCAATCAATCGATGAATCACTCGATCGGTTGACCGGTCGATCAATCAACCAATCGATCCGTGAATACATCGACCAATCAATGAATCGATCGAGCGCCAATTACACCAGTCACATCTGCAGTTCGAACAAAAAATTGAGGACGATCTCCTGCAAAAAAAGGAGAATGACGACCTCCTTCTTCTTTGCGAAGTTATTATATGCATAGATGGAATAAGCAATAATAATACCAATCAATGCAACTCCAATTGAGCTTAAATTTAATAGTATTTGAAAAAAACTTCTGTAACCTTTTTGCTAATTCTTCTTAATGAACAAATCAATTTGATTGAATTCCTCATTGCAAATGAAATTACTAGTTCATAATAATACATAGAACTATCAAAAAAAGAATATAAAGAAGATCTTCTTCTTCCTCCTCCTCCTCCTCCTCCTCCTCCTCCTCCTCCTCCTCGCGCTTGCCACGACGACGACAGGAGGGTAGGAGGCAGAGGAGCAGAACGATGACGTGGTGTGCACGTGGACAGGACAGGTGCCACAACATGACGAACAGGAGGAGGAGGAGGAGGAGGAGGAGGAGGAGGAGGAGGAGGCGGCCAAGGTGCAAGGTGGACACGATGACGAAGAGGCCGAGGAGGAAGAGGCCAGGTGGAGGAGGAAGAGGGAGGGGAGGAAGAGGGAGATGGCGCCCGCTTACCTCGACTTTCCCCAGAGGGGACGTGGACCCCGTCGGGTTGGCTGCAGACTGGGAGCTAGGGTCTCCAGCTACGTTGTCCCCCTTCCGGGGTGGCTGCAGAGTGGGAACTACACGTACAGTCTCCAACTAGGTTATCCAGCTTCACACAACAGCACTCCTTTCGAATTCGAACGGCTCGGCGGGTTTCCAACTTCGCGCCAGTTCGAAAGGGACCGCGGCCCAGCGGCATTCGCGCCAGTTCGAAAGAGACCGCGGCCCAGGAGCACTCGCGCCAGTTCGGAAGGGACCGCGGCCCGGAGGCAGACCCTGGACCACGGGCCGTTTCTCACGTCCGCCTGCCTGTGCCAGGGCCTCTACTGGGCCTTCCCACGTGGCTGACTTTCTGCAGTTTCTTTTTTGTTTTTTTTTTACTTCAGCCGAGGATTTTTTTAAATTTTTTATTTTTGTTGGGAGAATTTGTCTGGCGCCCCTGTATTTTCCATTAATTTGCGTCGCGCCCCTCCGACATCCGATTTACCTTGCCACGCCCTGGGCCTGAAAATCTTCCGGGCAGGCCCCTGTCGGTAGTGGGCGCAACTATCCAGGACGCCCTCCCTCAACTGGCGGTCCCATTCCGTCGGGCTCTGCGCCATATGCCCTCGAAAGGGGCACCCATCTTCCTGTGCTGCCCCTGCAGCTGTGTGGCGGTGGAAATTTGAATTCAATTTCGAACGCCTGACGCGGCGCCGCCATTTTTCTCTTGACGCACCGACACTCGTGGAGGCCAACCTCGTGCTGGAAAACGGATCGTGCCGCAAGGTGAGTGTCGGCCACCATCTTTGTTTTCACTCGTCGCTGTTCACTCACGCCTTTCCTCCTCTACACGCTTTTCCAATCTATGTTCTTCCTCTTCCTCATACTCTTTGTCCCCCCATTCGCCTTCCTCAGTCTCTCTCTCTCTCTCTCTCTCTCTCTCTCTCTCTCTCTCTCTCTCTCTCTCTCTCTCTCTCTCTCTCT